GGGGCTGGCTTTTGCTGAAATGTCTGAGCTTTCAGAAAGTGTGTGTACATTTACAGTTGTATAGACACACACCCGCTATTCTTTTTTTTTTTTTTGTGGGGGGGGGACACCCACTATTCGCTTTTTCTTCTCCTTATTTTTTCCCTACGGTGTTGGCCCCAATTGAAAGGTGCTAATGTTTCAATTGAAGCTGTGTTGGCCTCAATTGAAGCTGCTGTGTTGCAGATCCTCTGCATTGAGAAGATGGATATGTTTCTGCAGGTGAACCCAATCTGGTTCCACCTGCCTCCATCTGTTTCCAGTTGTTTATTTAATGTACTCATATTCTTTTGGAAATAAGTTTAAATAACACAGTTCATGATTTTGAAAGAACATCGTAACTCCGGATTTCGGGGAATGCCAAAAAGGATGAGACACTCAGACACTCAGACACTCAGAACTCAGACACTCAGACACTCCAGCAAGTATCATGCAAAAGAATTATGCAGTTCATGTCAGGCCCCAAATTGGGAGTCTGTTCTGGCTATAGTGTGAATGGCAAGCGCATGTCAGCCTTTTTTTAATCCCACCCTCTCCCCTCTTTTCTTTTTTTAATCCCACCCTCTCCCTCTTTCTGCAGTACTGAAAGGACTTCATGCATCAGTGGAGCCCCAACCCAAAGGCCAAGGTCCTATGTCCCATGTATCATAGTCTAACTGATAGTCCGGTAGCTTGGTAGGAGTCCTCGATAGGTCGCAGGACATAGGAAAGCCCTGTTCCGCACAAAAAGTCCCAGTTCCAAAAATAGCAGCAGCATCCAAGGAAAGTCTGGAGACATCCGGAACCGACAAATGATTGCAAATGGGAAGCGAGGGACTGTTACAGGTCCGAAGAAACTCAAGATTGTCAATTGCAGCAAGTACAAAAGCTTCTGAATCGCAAGCATTGGAACTGCACCGCCACCGATTGTGGGCCGCTGCAGTGCCAAGGGCACACACTTGTTCAAACTGTTCCGGAATGCTACTGGTTGCTTGTGTGTTCACTTCCGCTGTGAGAGCTGAGCATAGAAGAGGGAGGTGTGACAGCGAAGGCAGAGAGAGAGAAAAGTGTTCCAGAGGGAGGGAGAGAGAGAGAGAGAGAGAGAGAGAGAGAGAGAGAGAGAGAGAGAGAGAGAGAGAGAGAGAGGTGCAGGTGGGTGCGCCAGGTGCATGGAAAAAAAATACCCATATATACGTGCCCCAGAGAGAGAGAGAGAGAGAGAGAGAGAGAGAGAGAGAGAGAGAGAGAGAGAGAGAGAGCAAAGGGCCCCCTGTACGTCAATTCAAGGGCCCCTGCAGGTAACTCAAATGGCTCCTAGAATGTATGTGGACACCGTGGAGTCATTGAGGACCAATGCTTCAATGAGTAGAATGGCCGCATCATATGTGGAAGAGGTGGGAGCAGACCACCAATATATGCTGTGGTTTCGAGTTCAGGTCTGTGGCTCGGCAGTTATGGGTCACCAATTCAGCTAGACCCTGTTCGTGTCTCCAGGTGATTCTCACGGCCTCGCTCCACCACTCCCCAAATGTACAACATTAGAATGAATCTTCTGCTAAAACATGGAACCATACACCGCCATATGCTATGTCTTTTGTGCATGTGGTGAGTAGTGGAAAGAGGCTCCTTATGCCAAAAAGAAAAAGACGAGAGAGCTACAGGCATCCTCGTCCTAACCCATAACTGCAACATGCAGACCTGAATGCCAATCTTCAGCATATATTGGTGGTCGGCTGGCCTTGCAAAACATATCTCGTGACTTCTACGAAGCACCGTGGGGCAGGTTGCTATTTGGGCAATTACGCCCTTCTTGCGAATATTTTCCACCACTGTGGGATTTGCAGAAGGGAGGGGGAAGGCCAGTTTCCACACACCGCCTTAAAAAAAACCTGTAATGAGCCCTATTTTCATGATCCGCCGTTTCAAAATTTTTGGGGGAGGGACCTGCGGAATTCGAAATTCGGCAGCACTTGCCCAAAAAACAATATTCGGGCCCGGGGTGCGGCCGGTCTCCGAACTCACGCGGCGAGTTGAACATTTTTGCCGGAGGGGGGGAGGAGGGCTAAGAAATTACGAAACCCCTGCTTTTTTTTTCTTTCTTCCGGACCTTAATTTTTCCGGCGCGGTGCACCTCGGTATGGTGCGGTGTGCGGTGTGCGGTGTGTGGTGTGTGGTGTGTGGTGTGCGGTGTGCGGTGTGCGACTCGTGCGCAAATCCGTGCATCGAGGTGCGCTGCTACTATGGTCAAGGCCGGAGCGATACTTTCGTAATTTTAATAATAATAACTGCCATCTCGTTGGTGTTGTGCTCGCTTGTGCTGACTTGTGGGCATGAATGTGTGCTGAGTGAAGCGTGAAGTGAGTGGGATCATTGCACTGGTATTGGAGCAAACTCTCACTGCTGTCGGTGGTTGAAGGAGAAGATTGGGTCGGTGTTCGAAGAAGGCCAGAGGGTAGAGCGTGAACGGCCTCTTTGGGGGGCAACCGGCGCTTGAAGGACGGTGACTGAAGGGTCGAAGGAGCACAAGTGTCCAAGAGGAAGAAGATCTTTGAAGCTTGCTTCATGGAATGACATCGAGGTGGAGTGAAGTGTTTTCATAACCCCAGCCTCATTTGTGTTCCCTATTTGCTTTGTTGCTGGGTTTCTGCCGGTCCTTTCCTCGGATGCACGCTGCTGTGCCAATTTTGTTGATGTCAATTAGGTCTAGGGTAGAATGATTGGTGCATACATCTTGTGATTATAATCTTCTGGAGGAGAGGCTCCCCCCGGTTCTTGGGGATAGGGTTGCCCGCAGTCCCGGAGGAGGGAAGGAATAGTTCTCTCTTCCAGTGGAGTTCCAACTCAGGTCTGTATTTCAACAGTTCAGGTCACGGGGTGTGTGTACCAACTGAGCTAGGCCGGTTGGCCGGGAATAATTCTCAGGAAAGAGGAGATAGAAAGGAATGAAGAAAAGGAGAGAAATATCTGCAATGCATAATGGTAAAAACCCGTTGGTCGAGAGGAGCAGAGAGGAGCAGAAGGAGGAGGAGGAGGAGGAGGAGGAGGGTAACAGGGGAAGAGACAGGAAGCAGAGGAAGGAGAAACCTCATAAGAGGCTAGCAGAAGGTGGGGGAGAGGGGGGGGAGAGGGGGGAGGGGAGGGGGGCAGAGGATGGCAATGCTGTGAGATTGCAAGGCCCTCGTCCTCCCACCTATAACTGGACCAAGGACTTTCGTTCTGGCAGCCAGAACTGGGCTAGGGCCTTTTACTTTGGCAGCCAGAATCGGACCAGAGGTCTTTGATAACTGGACCAGGAGGGCCCTGGTCCTCCCGGCCATACCTGGACCAGTGCTTTTCACTCTGGCAGCCATAACTGCTGGACCAGGACTTCCCATTTTGGCAGCCATAACTGCACCCCGGCCTTTCATAAGTGGACCAGGGGAGGGGGGGACCCTGATCTTCACAGCCATAACTGGACCAACGCCTTTCACTCTGGTGGGCATAACACGACCAGAGCCTTCAAACCAAAGTACCTTTCCCCGCTTGAGAATCAAATACGCGCCAGTATATTCGGAAGCCAAGCGGGATCGGGCCGCCGTTGATAAATTTCATAGGTGGCCCATTTCCCGTCTTGGGCCGTTTTTGCCTGCCCGTGGCCGATATATGGGAAAGGTACTGGTGGTTTAAGGAGCCCTGCTCCTCCCAGGGACCAGGGCCTTTCATGACTGAACCAGGGCCTGTGGGTCATATCTGGGCCATGGGAACCCTGCTTTTCCCAGGGACCAGGGCCTTTCATGACTGAACCAGGGCCTGTGGGTCAGAACTGGGCCATGGGAACCCTGCTTCTCCCAGCCATAAGTTGATCAGGGGCTAGGGGAGCCCTGCTTCTCCCTGCCATAAGTGGACCAAGGCGTTTCATTCTGGCAGCCATCATAAGTGGACCAGGGGAGGGGCTTCTCCCTGCTCCTCCCAACCATAACTGGACCATCGATATATCTCCCCCTGGTTTAACTGGCCCCCTGCTAGTTTTTTTTTTTTTTTTTTTTTTTTTCAAAGGGTGACGGCATTTAGATATCATCATTGAACATACCAGCCCCAGGTAATTCATAATTATTTTATTATGGTCATCTGATTGTATCTGGATTCGATCTTGGGTCTGATTCATATTTCAACAGTTCGTGGGTGTACCAACTGAGCTAGGTCCCTGGCAGTCCTATTCAACCCACTACCATGCACCCAGCGGCGACCTTTCCCTTGTCGTAGTTTGCTCTTTTGATCTCTTTTCCTTTTCAAGCAAGTCATTGTGGAGTGGAAATTGAGATCCTCTCTTGGCCAGCAGTCAGGCGGGACCATTAAAAAAAAGGAAGGGAGAAAAAAGGTAAAAAAACTTTAAAAAAGGAATTTGGAATTTTGGATGTGATTGATTACTGACCGCTAACCTGAAACCGTTTCCTGCTTGGCTGTTCGCAGTGATGGAGCTCGGCTGACAAAGGCATTCCTTGCGTTCTCTTTCTGCACTGACAAGCAATTGCACAACTGGGT